CATCTCTTTCATCTACATGAGAAAACAATCCCATTCAAAAATGTGAATAAAAAACCCAATGATATCTTCTAAGATGAACAAACATGAGCTGAGATCATATTTATTTAATTCTACCTGAAACCGTATACTTCAGTTGTAGTGATACTGAATTTGATCTTACAGCATCCTGTTAAAAGAATAAAGGTTACGAAAGTAGTTAAAGACACCCCTTTATAGCTCATCATCAAACCACTGCCAGTTATTTTAATCACAGTTAATGTCATCTGCTGTCAGAAGAGATTTTTATAACATGCTGTCACCAAGATTAGAAGTGTAGCAGCAATTTTATATTTGTGTTTAGGCTATGGAGGAAATTTTTATCTCATAAAAACATCCAAGAAAATTACTAGCTTGTGTGTATGTGCTTACAAAGAAGTGAAATGAGATATTTCAGTTTCCTCAGTAGTAGGGTGGATAGGTATCATGGAATCATAGAATATCCTGAGTTGGAAGGGACCCTTAAGGATCATCAAGTCCAACTCTTGACACCGCACAGGTCTACCCAAAAGTTCAGACCATGTGAGTTGCCTACTTTTGTCCATTTCAATGAAAAAAAGCAGCGAACTGATGCACATGGGATTTTTTTTTTTTCCAGGCTACTTTCAGAAAATTATTTTTATTTGGCTGGATTGTCTGTCAGGATTCCTGAGCTAAGGTCGCTTTCACTCTTACCATGCATCAGTCACGTCCTGCCACGTCCCACTGATAACAAAATGCAGAGCGGATAGTAAGGAATACAGGGCAGAACTTCTCAGATCCTGCTGTGACCAGGTACATCAGTTGCTACCAAGTGAATGTTTACCAGTCACTTGTCTTGGTCAAACAAGCAGCAGCATGTTGGTGTTACCACAAATAGCACATACAAGTACTCCCCAAGCAGCTGAGCTCATAATAAGCTGATTTTTTTCATTTACGATGATCTCACTAATTTTCAACAAAGTTACTCCCATTAACAAAGTTAAAATCTTGCAGGTATTTGCAGAATCTGGACACTAGACTAAACTCATGGGATAGGGGATGATTTTTTTTTTTTTAATTAAGTGTGTGAACAGTGCAATGAAGCCTCAATTAAGATCTCTAGAGACTAGAAACATCCAAGTAATAAAGCCTCAATGGTGATGTAGCTTGCCATGTGCAGTTGGCACATTAGATCCCAGCACACCAGTTAATTATTTTGATTTACAAGAACACACACGCTCACTACTGGGAAGGGTTTTGAGCTGCCCTTATTGAATGAATGGTAGTCTGTGCACTTCATAGGCTGTGGCAATATTCAAATCAAATTTCAAATGAAATATCATACGGTAGCATTTTGGTCTGCCTTCACCTCTCCGCTCCCATTTTCTCCTACACTCCACATTCCATTCATTGATTAGAAGTTAACGAAGCTCTGACTCTACAGACCTTGCCCCTACAATTCCAGTCTGAAATATGACCAGGCAAAATTTCTGTGACAAATTCTAGATAAACATCACACACTTTCACTGCAGCTACAAACCTGACACTCAGGCCACATTCACTTTGGTTTATGAATCTTTGAGTAAACTATGGCCAAATTTCAAAGAAACATGGACTAAAGCTGTCCTGAAATCCCAGCGCAAGGGATTTCAAGTGTTTTGGGCAGAAAGCACAAAACTAAACCAGAAGCCATGCCTTTTTTTTTTTTTTTTTTTTTACCCAGCAAGTTCCACTGAATTTTAGTTCAGATAAAACCTTAAATCCAAAAATGAGATTATGGAAAAATCTCACCAAAACCAGGGGAAAAACACCTTGATCAAGCAGACATCTGAAGACCCAGTTTCACAAAGCCCCATTAACCATATTAAGGCAGAAACTAACAGACCCTTGCTGGGTAAATTGCTGCTGACAGTTGGAGCTTTTCCAATGAAAATGTCTTATAAGCAATAGGGACATCTCAAATGAGAAGGATATTGGAAATCCTGCGCTGAAACAGCTGCTATTTCTCATGTTATCACCCACTTGGGAACTCATGTCCTTGCACAAAACAGATTTTGCATGAGTAAGCCACGGAGCTGGGTCTGGAGCACTCAGAACAGTGGAAGTGACTCACAGTCTAGGCTCAGATGTGACCCATTTGGTTTCCTCTGAAAGAACCCATGCCAGCCACGGATTTGGCATGAAACTGCCCACAGGCTGACCATCAAATACTGCAATGATTAACGATGAACCTATAAATGCCTAAGTTCCTCCATGCCATTCATCATCTCTGCTTTCATGCACGACAGAATTGGGATAACAGGATCTGAGAGGCTTTTGGGCAGGATTTTTTCCTTCCCGATGAAGTAATCACTAGGAACACCAGCACGTGCTTACGTCCATCATCCTGTACACAGCTTTCAAACTGAAGTGTGAAGCTTTCCGTGGTTAATCACATATTTTGTATTTTGTCCTTTCTGTACCTGAGGTTTTTTCCTCTGTTTTCCTGGGTTAGTAGCTTAGGAAACTGTATATTTAGCTCTTCTTATTATAGAGGTACAATGGAATGGAAGTCTCATTCCTATTTCTCTCTCACCCACAGCTTAAACACAATTAACTTTTCATTTGATGCATTCTTCCTGTCTGCACTCATAACGCTCCCCCAGGAAATGAGAACCAATAAGTCCTCCACAAGAGTAGAAGAGCAGGGTACTGACCAAATATTGTATAATGATATATTATAGGCATATGGGAAAAAAAGTTAATTAAAGACCACAGCTATCCTTTGGGAAAATGTTTAATATATTAGGCTCTTGGAGCAGAACAATGCAACATAAACAAACCCTCCCTTTTCAGAAACTGTGAATACACACATTTGGGAAAAAACAACGAAATCTGGCACTAGTATTATTGGTCAGAGGCTATATTTATGTCTAATAAGATACGCAAAGAACACACCTTCACGAACAGAACCGTGACATTTTTCTGCACAGAAAAAAAATGGGAGTTTGTCTGGCTACTCATTAGCATCCATTTCCAAAGGAACAAACCCAGTTTCTAAGGTAATATCAAGCAATCCTTAAGGTTAGATTTTCTTTTATTTATGTCAGTAACTCCATTGGAGCAGATGCTAATTTTTAGCACCTGCAACAGGTTTACAAAAATGTTAGCATTTGCACTTGAATGTAAACAGGATGTTTGCGTGAAATTTGAGTGCAATTTTTGTGCAGCAGGCTCCAATGAAAGCCCAAATGAATTAACCCCAATCTTTCAACTTCCACTGACTTTGATGAGGCATAGACACATTGGTGCCCAGCCTCCTTGGGCTTCCCACTGCTGTCATCAGGAAAATAGCTACTCAGATTTGGTCTGAAAAAAACTGTCCTTGCTTTGCACTGAAATAATGAATCACATGCTGTGGTGGTTTTAGGAAAGGTAGTTTTAAGTGTTTTTTTATGGTTAGGAAAATCCTAACCATATAGATTATGTGCCAGCATGTTTGATGACAAGAGATGCCTTACCCAAAGCACAAAACAGGGGGCACATGGTTTGCAGCAGGGTCTGAGACCCTGGCTGGAAGAAAACAATTCAAACTTCCTGCACAGTTTCACAGCAACCCAGGTATCCCTGCTCAGTGGGGCCAGTGGCTATGTCTGACACACAGATCCCAGTCAGGGGAAAAAATAAATAAATAAATAAATAGAGAGAAAAAAAAGACTACACACTCAAAAGCAGAAAGCATGGCAGAGACCTGTGAGGATGCAAGTTACAGTGAAATGCAACTGCTTCCAGCCTTGGGGAGGACACACAACATGAGTAATTTACAGCATTTACATTTTACCTTCAGTTTCAAAATTCAAGCCAGAAACATCACAGAACTCTGAAGTTGTGTGTTCAGTGTAAATGAAGAATAAATACAGTTAGAGAATGGATGGCTGCAGGTACACCTGCGGTAAACCATGAGCTTTTTCTTTAATTCACATTAACATTTTCAAATCACATGTAATGTGCAGCTTGCTGTACTTATGTACTTACTTAACCAGGACACCTGTCACTTTTTAGATCCTGCCATAAAAATTAAGCGATGTGTACGGCTTCCCCCCCATATACTTATTTTCACCAACAGATATTAGAATACTTTATTTGAATGGGTATTTTACAGGAGGGAGAATGATGATGTAGCAGATTGGGGTACAGCCAAAGCTGTCATGCTTGCCTAAATCATAAGTCAGGGCTGTATCCTATATGCAATGCTACCAGCTCTAATAAAGAGGTCAACCTCTAAATAAGGTACTCGTGGCACTAACAGCAGTGTTAGGCAGGCACCTCAAAGGAATGTCCTTCTTGCTATTTGTTTGGAGACTTTAAAAAAAAAATCTACCCCCACACAAACTCTATAATCCATACACGTACCATTTTTTTCTTAGTTCTTAAAAGTAAACACATACGTTTGCAACTGGGCCACCCACAATCTGAAACAAGAGTCATTTGTCTGAAAACGCAGCAAGAAAAGCAGTCTGTGTTAAAAACACACACGTATATTCTATATGTTTAAAGTTTTAAGTCAGAGCTCCTCTCTGAATAGAGCTATTGTACCTGTGATTTATCAGACAACATATTGGTATTTACTTCTGCAATTACAAGCACATTTTCCAATAACACTCAGATGATTGTTTCTTAAAAGCAACTTCACATGAAAGGAATAATAAGCACAAAATGATGTTTCATTAAAACCACTAAAGAAATTTTATTAGCAGTTCCATCAGGTTTAACTAGCATCTTTAGTATATGCACGTGGGTATGTATAATCTTTGTCAGATTTGTCAGCTTTTGATGGATGTTTTCACTCTCACAGTGTTATTATTACTCCTATAGAGTAATACCGGCAGCAGGGACCTATAGTTTATTAGACCTTGTGTTGCATCTGCCACAGTGCCCTGGGGCTGGCGTATAGTCATCTAATCCAAATAATATTCCTTGCAATTACACTTGATTGTTAACTGTATATATTCAGTTCCACTTACGTTTGACTGTTGTTGTTCTCTGAGGTTTTCTTCAGACGAGCCATGCTTGAGCTCCCAGACAGTAGGTGGGATAATCCAGATAATTAGAACTGAAACGCAAAGTAAAAACGATATTAATTGAAATAGCTACTAGTAGATTAAAACGTCATTGACAACACAGACCAACAGCATGGCTTTGAAACCTTTTGCTCACACGTCTTAAAGGCAGCAGGTTAAAAACTTAACTTGGTACCACATGCTAACGCCACCCCAGTACAGCAGTCCTTCTAGAACTAAACCAAGGCAAGAGCACCTACTGCTCTGCACTGCAGTGCGATTAGCTTCTTATTGCAGAGTAGGGGCAATAACTAAGAAGAGGAACCAACCCATCTGCAGCATTTGAATGGAGGTTGTGGAGCTGCTTTGAGGCAGCAGAAAGAATTCTCTCACTTGTCACTAAATCTGGCTGCTCAGTCTGAATGCATAAGAATAAAAATGCAGTTTTGTACAAAGGAGAAAGAAGAATTCACGTTCTTTTATTTGCAGGAAAGTGACAGCATGCAAGCCAGAAGGCAGGAACACAGAAGAGGGGAACTAATGACAACATTTGCTTTCATTATCAAGTCAGAAAGCTCTTTGCCACAAGCTAGGTAAGCTTCTGCCTCAGGTACAGCAAAGAATCAACAAAAGCCAGAGACAGGAAAACAAGCATTTGCCACTATCAAATTATTTTGTCAAGTTATGCTTAAGGGTTGATTGATGCACTTTAACATCAAATAGCATTAAGTTTGGAAGCTCTCTGAGATGCGTAGTCATCATTCATCAGTAAAGCTTAAATTTTCAGATCAACCAGTGTGAGAGAAATTAATTTGGAAGCTGTCAAGATTTCTTTGTATAATTATGGTTCTGCAGCAATTAGGAAGTGAGTTTACATTATTTGCTAAGATAGATAATTGCTAAGCCTGCTACCAATAATAAAACAAGTTTTCTCTTCAACAGTGTGTTAATCTTGAAGATAGACACCTAAATAGACATATTTATTCACATAAACATTCACATTTTTCTGAATAAGCTTGCCTAGTTCAACACCATGAGTCTTACACAGTTTGAATTACTTTATAGTCAGGAAAATATATATATATATTGTAGTTGTACCAGAAGGACCACTGTGGCCTCCTAAAAATAAATAGAATAATTAAATAATTAGTCATACCAGCAGACAAGCAAAGATGGTCTAAAAAATATCAAAAGACTGAAAACATAAATCATGAATACAACCCATATAATCTTTGACCTACACACAAGCTACAAGGTTCAAAGGTGGCATTGCATTATGTATTTATTGCTTGGCTAAGCCATTATTCACCAGGCTTGATTTTAAGAGGTAGGTATGATGGGAGTCTTGTATGGGGAAGAATATATCATGAAATCTTCCATATACAGGATGGTACAGCTAATTTATCTTTTGTTGCCTTCTGCTCAATTTATGGCATGGCAGCTTTCTACAAAATGAAGATTCACAATCTAATGCAAGAGCAGAACAAAGTGCAGCCATTCACAGAGCAGCCTTCACATTCAGCACCGTCCTCAGAAGATCTACTCGTCATATTGATGAATGAAAAAAGGCAAACGGCACGGTAAGGCCGGAGGAGACAGAACAGCAAAGCACAAAGCTATTTCTACCCCAGCACACCACCAGACACAGACACATCTACGGTGATAACGACAGGGCTGAAGCAACCCATCTGCCCCTTTGGGCACAAGGATGAGGTTGCCCAGCACTCCCAGTGCTTACTTACTGGGTGTGAGAACGACTACACCTCCAACCCTTTAGCCACAATCACACTCTGCTATCTTTTTCCCCTTTCCCTGGGCCTTTCTGATGGTACCCTGCCTTCAGTGAACAGTTCAGCTGAAATTCCCTATAAATTGGTAGGGAACCCATGATTTGGTCTGCACTGTTCTTCCCCGTTTCTTCACAGTTCTTAAATTCTCAAAGGTCTTTGCTGGGCATTTCTACAGAAAAATAACACTTTTGTCATACATTAAAAAAGCAATGTGAGATCAAGAGTGGATCTTCACAGCGTCCATGCAGATTTAGAAAGACAGAAACTCCATTAGATTCACACAGCCCTAGAGAACAGCTTCAGGGTCCAGCTGACAGAGTCTTTTTCAAGGCTGTGATAACAGACAAAAGCACTGTTTGTGCTCTTGAAAAAATCAAGAGCAGTGTTAATTCAGCTTCTGCTAACTCATTTGAAAAACTGGGATCTTGGCTGGTGGCATTTACAGCCAGCAAGGGGCATGATTTGCTTCTTACAGAGCTTGTGAAACAAAATGGCAAATTTTCCTCTTCTCTGTTGATCACAAGAGATTTCTTAGTCTTGTTCTTCCAGTGCAAAGCAACTCCTACTGGTTTTGCCTCTATCCCGTGGAACACAGGGTTGGTTTATTGGTTTAACTGCCTGAAGGCAAGAGGTTGTCTCTCACTAGGGAAAACTGAATCCTAACCACTGCCATGCCAATATTCTGCTCTTGTCAGCAAGAAAACTACGTATCAGACCCCTTAATGCAAAGTGTTCATAAAGAATGAAGAAAAAAGAAAAAAAAATGGTATTACAACTCATGCATGAATGGGCGTTCAGTTTCCACCGTATTCAACTCTAACGGAGAGAAAGCAATTCTGTAAAAAACGTTTTTGGTGCATGCTTTCTGGTATTGCCTGTGGGCATATTAGATAGCAGTTATTTGCAGTATTTACATTTTTTACCAACTTATCAAGAGAAAATCTAATTGTTCCTAATGACAGTCACTCCATGCGTCTCCTATTCTCATATATGGGGAAGCGTTTATTATCCATTTGTAGTAATTAAGACACTGATGTTATATGGATCCATAAAACCAACTTCATTTAGCAAATACAGGCTTATTTCAAACTTGCAACATCAAAAATATTTTTAAAAAAATAAAATCTTAGTTATAACATATAGCATATTTTGAATGACTAACTGATATCAGAAAATCACTAGTCTTAGATTTGGAAAAATAAAACCATGTTCTCTAAGATAACTTTTTCCAATATTAGCTAGGAAGTGAAATAATTAACCAGCAGAAAATGACAGTGAGATATGTTTTACAACATCTGCCTTTCTTTATTCAAGCTTTTTTGTTACAAAACAGTTAGGCAAACTGTTTTTAACCAGTACAGGGCCATGTATTACCAGGGGGAGGTGGAATCTTCCCTAGCCCTTCACAGACTTCACCATTTGTTTCTGATGCACAAAACACTCAAAATGAGTCAAAAATCTGTGTGCCTTGGTGGTGAAAATGGCCAGCTGTGCCTGGGGTGCACCAATACCTCTGCCAATGTCTGTATGTACTTCAGAAGACTAATGGGTCCTCTGAACACCATCACAGGATCAGGAGATGCTAGGTGAAATCCCAAAGCAGTGAAGTCCTTGGGAACACCTGCATTAAACTTTGGGTTCCTTCTCCATCTTCATTCTCTCTGTAGAAGCACTGCACAACCACAGAACTTCATGAAATCAAACTGAAGTTTACATTACTTAATTGTAAATCTTCTCACTCCTGTGGAGGGACCCCCAGTCCATAGGCATTCCTCCAGAAGAAACACAGCTCCTCATTTCTTGAAATGCTATCTTGCTCTACATCAAGTCCTATTAAATTTTCTCTCTTGGCAGTACTGTATTTATCCACTGCAACACATGTGAAATTAGAACTGGAATACTTGACAAGTGTTTTCTTCCTCTAGCCATGAGGTAAAACAAACCGTGCTCCTCTGTAAATCCTTCCTGTAAGTGCACATCCAATTCCAAACACCACAATAGCTGCGGTGTTTTTTCCTGGAGAAAGATGGAGTTCAAGTCTTCTCATGGCATAGAGTTTAAATTAAATGTTTGAAAGAGGTGTCTCACTGGAGCTTGACAAAGATTTTGTAAAGATGCCCAAATCCTAGCAAGTTTAGATTTCAATATAATATATAAAACTTGGACTGTGTTTTCTAAGGTTAGCAAATTCTCCAGGCAGACTCGGGCTTTAGTTCAAGCAGATCTGGACTGATTTATACTTTGATATTATGCCCAAAACTATAATTAAGAAAGGTTTTCACTAAAACTAAGTGCAACTCAGTGAAGCGGTCTCATTTTTCCAGTGAGACGAGTCCCAATGCATTCACTCTGTAAAAGGAAGCAGGGGTGAATAGAGCTTCCCCACTGCACATTGAGATGACTGAAAAGAGAATCCAAAGACAATAAAGAATAACATGGCGCTCAGCCCAAGTGTCAAGATATGACACAGAAAACCAGCTTTGCCTGCATTTCTCCTGATTAATATTCCAATTCAAGCGAAGTACACATTTCAATCTTCAGATTTAAGCATAGCACTGTGGGATAAAGAGGTTTGGTACCTGGGAAGGCAGCTTCCCAGCAACATTCCTATTTTATTTTTCCCCTTTGATAATGAGGGGTGCAACTCACAGGAAACCAGATGCTCAGCTGGAACAGTCAATAGAGCACTGAAGTGAGCACTAACCTAAACCAATGGAGAGCTGTTGAACAGGAGTTTACCCCTACTGCAGAGGTGGTCCTACATCTTCTGACTGCCTCTCCAGTCCTCAGTGCCACGGTGAATCAAACCTGAAGGAAACTGAGTATAACAACTTTCAGCCTGACTCATGAAAACAGTCCCTCCAGGGGTCCAAGGGACCCTCCAGACTGAAAGAAACAAGATAGGATAGGACAGGACAGGACACACTAGGGGCATTCGTATCAGTTCAATATGTGCTGTCGAAACAGCAACACACTACTAGCTCCTGTGCAGATTTTACTTTAGCAGCTTTGGTAATACCTCATCTCTAATCCCCAACTTGAGGTACCACACAGTACACTGACAGAAATAAAAATACCTTGCTATCACGTTTGATTTTAACATGTAAATTACAGCTATACACATGTTGAAACCCTCCACTCAATATCCCAAAGGAGTTTAAGACCAGCCAGCAAGTTTTAGGGGTGATGGTATACATAACCTGGTTTTAGGGCCTGCTCCAATCGTTATAAAAAAAATGTCCTCAGTATGAATTGGGCTGTAT